AAAATCAGATTTCAATCTTATGATTACTTGTAGTTGTGCTAATTCATCACAACTTTCGAAGGTCTAATGGAAGTGCTTCATAGCGACTTTTTTTATCACATATTGATTTGGTAAAAATATTTTTATGTTGAATTCACGGATACAACTTATAATCGGGAAAGGTTATTAGGATAAAAGAGCCGATGTTCAATGACTATCAACCCCTCTCCGCTTGATACGTTCGCTCGTATAAAACTAAAATATGGTGGCAAGTGATTGGTTTTTCCTGTTTCGCAACAATTTTTCTCCCCATAGGTTGTTTTCTTTTCTGAATCGAAGAGAACTTAGACGACTTAGAATTTCTATCGTGTCTATAATTTTAGCTTGAAAAGCGGTCTTTTATTATTGTTTTCTTTTCCTCTGCACAGTTATGCGTGTATTCATTTCGTAATGTCTGGATATTGGAGCTTTCGTGAACCTGAAGTCACCAATAGGCCGCTTGTCGCAGCAACCGTACTCCCGGAGGCCATTCGAGCGGTGACGCCCACAAGGGAATCGAACAAATCACCGGATTTATTCGTCCCCACTTCCATTTCTCGACCCCCAAAAGCTACCGGTACCGATGAAAACCTAAACCCGGGCAATGAGACACCTACTTCGCAAGAATGCGTGCTGGTCGTCGATGAATGTGAGGGCGAGGCAACTCCCCATGCCGGCCCGAATGACGAAAGCGCTGGTATCTCTGATTTTGCGCTAGATGTGGGCATTCAGCAGGTCATGCGGGAGGTGCAGGAGTCGTGGTGGCGGAACCATCTGGGGGTGGACCTCTCTTCTAACCGAAGCGTGCTACTAGGCCACGATACGACGCTTTCGAATTCTAGCGGCCCAGCAATCAACTCCCAGGCGATAGACGAAGAAGATGCGCAGGTGATTCGTGAGTTGTTGTACAAAAATGAGACCATCCCAAAGACCAAGGGGGGAAAGGGAAACGAGGGGGCTATGAAGAAAACGACGGCAGCGCGTGGGGGAGGCCCCCGCACAGAGCGAGCGCGCGACGTGGCTAGAAAGCCCCACGGCCCCCCATCCGCAGTCTCGCGAAAACCCAACCGGGCCGTTGCTCTCCCTCTTCCCAAAACCGGCCGCGCGCCGTTTCGGCTGTCGACTTCGCTCGGGTCGTTTTTCCAGGGCATCGTGCGCGGCATCCGCGGGGGCGGCGCGGCGCGGCGCGACCTCGCACGGGCGGCTACAAATTACTACCACATCCGCCTCGCCGCGGTGGCGTTTTGGCGCTGGGAGGGAAGACGGGCCCGTCGAAAGTGAGATGATTGGAAAGAAAGACGCCCTCTCTGGGTAGGGAAGGGAAAAATGATGAAGTACAATTCGTAAAGGGAGGAAAGGGGAATATTTGTAGGTAACGTCCGTTAAGGTTCGTACGTATCAGGTGTTTTTTTTAAAAAGAAAGAGAAAATGCAAATTTCACAGAGCCCAGGATGGGTCTTTTTCACAAATTGGAATATCAATTTCAACAATGGCTGCTTCGCCGCAAATGACGCAATCGGCCTTCGCCAACGCCTCCAGGTTGTGGACGCTTTCTAGGATGTGTGGCACGACGCCTTCATCCATGAGGAAGGCCTCCGTACCGCCCAGCTGCTCGAGCCGCTCCACAGCACATTTTTCGTGCACAGCGTGGTTGCAATTAGGATAAATCAAGTACGGCTCGGAGCTCTGCAGCAGATTTTTCCGACATAAGATACAGCGCTGCTTCACGGTCACGTAGCTGTATTTGTATTGCAGCTCTCTTAGTTCCTGCTGTACGCTCTCGATGGCACGGTACGTCTTCTCTTCTTCCTGATTCATCTCCGCGATGTCGATCGAGTACTGGTCGAGATAGCGGCAGATCATCTCTTTAAGCTCGCGTACGGAATCCAGATCGCTGATGCTGCCGATGACGTCTTCAAGCTGGAGAACGCCATTGGAGTCGTCAACAAACGCGAGTGTGACCTTCGGATCGCATTTTTTGCTCGCTAGCAGTGCCGTTAGTGACCACAGGCGCTTCCGCGTTTCGGCATCGAGCTCGTTTTGGATCCCTTTCAACATGTCCTTCACGCGAGTTAACGCAGGCCAATGCCCATCCGGTTGCTCCGGCTCTGAGGTTTCCAACGCAATGCGAATGGCGTCCTCGTACAGGTGGAGTCGCTTGTACAAAAGAAAACATGCCTCAAAATGCTTGTGCTGCAAACAGCACCGGATGGCGTATTCAGTGTCGTAGAATAGGGCCTCTTCGAGGAACTCCAGCAGGCGCTCCGTATCTTGTTCGCACAGAAGCGAGAGGTAGTAGTGGTGGATCATCTTGGAAGTAGAGTGAAAGTGATAGATGCATTGCTCAAGTAGAACAATAACCTGGTTCTCCGTATTGGAAGGGTCTTCATTCATTTCTGGAGAGGTATACCGAGCAAAGGCCGGTAGGAGGCGCTCCATCCGAAGCGTTGGCGGGCGCCGACTCTGGACCTCCTTCGCGGTTACCCGCAGGATACCAGCAATGAGGGCGACCGGAAAGTGCTGGATCAACACGGGAGAGTACTCGTACCACTCCTCCGCCATATCGGATTTCCCCGAGATGGTGCTCGCCGTCAAACCCTCAATCGCTTCTCGGTAGTTCCCATGATGGACATGATAGGCGACGGCGTATTGTGGGTGGTTGGAGAGTTTCGCGAGCTCCAAGGCATTTTTTATCGGTCCCTGCTCCTCCAGCAGTCGCAGAAGAGTGCGGTAGAAACCTTCCTCCTTAAACAGTCGCGGGCAGTGGCGTGCGGTGTATTGCAGAAATCGACTCACATCCTCCGCAATTGGGACATCCGTTTCACTGCCATGCGGTGCACTAAGCTTTTGTTGCAAAACGATAAGGACGAAGCAGCCCAATTGCGCCAACAGTTCTTGCTGCTCTTTCTGCGAGAGGTTCTCCTGCTCGATGAGCTTGACAAGGAACTCATAGCGCTTCAAAACGTACAAATGGAGCACCGTTTCACGTCGTTGGGAGACCAAAAAGTTGTAAATCGTCTCGACCAAATCACACTTCGCCCACAAGGCGGCGGCGATCTCCTCGTTCACGCGCTGGCCCTGTTGGTAGACGAAATGCCCATGGAGCAATAACACGACGTCGCGCTGCGCGGGGTTGAAGCAGGAAAGCTTATAGGCGGCGTTGAACATTCGGTGGCGCAGCGATACGGCCAAATCCGGCCGGAGGGCTCGGTCGAGGAACAGACGCCACTGCTGCCGATGCTCCTGCTCGAACTGGAGCTCCCACAGGCGGCACTCGCTGAAGACGTAGAGTTTCCTCTCGCCCACATCCCGGACGACCCCGCAGAGCGGCTCCATATGCTTCATTCCGCGAAAAGGATCAAAGCGCACGCGCGCAATCAGCTCGTCGAGCGAGATGGGGTGATCCACCGACATCGCCGACGAGTGGCCTCTCCAGGGCAGCCCAGGCGGGTGGTTCACCACGAGGCAGCGGTGGCTGTACAGCAAAATCAGGTGGAAGGCCGTGGGCACCACCATCCAGGGAAGCTCGCCGGGAAAGCGCACGTTAGTGGAGTCCATCGCCGTGGCAAGGTAGGACTGGACGTCCACCCGGATCATCTCGTCGATGGGGATCAAATCCTCGTAGGCGCAGCCGTTGGGGTCCGATTTCTTCTGCGTCGAGGCAGCCGGCGCCGGGGTGAAGGCATCGCTGCCATTGGTTTGGTGGAGCAGGCCGTGCACGACGCCGGCCGCGGAGGTCCACACAAAGGCGTTTGCGGGGTGTTTCGCGTCGGCGCGGAAGACGGCAAGGGCGCCGCTTCGGGGGTCCACTGAGCCGTAATGAGGAGGCTCCTCAACCGCAAAGGCGGCCGGCCCCGTCGCGAGCGCGGAAAAGACCTCCGTAGGGGTCTTTCCCTTCACGCAGCTCCGGAAGAGTTGGGTGGGCGAGGAGGCCCACAGAAGGCATTCGGTACGAGAAGGGACCACCACCACCGACGCCACAGGCATCTGAGGCGGAAAGAAGTTAGGTAGTTGAAGGGTCCTCCCACAGTACATTTTAAGACTGCTTGACGGGCCCGATTCAAAGAAAACTTCCACAAGAGCGCCTCCGTATTTGGAGCCGACGATGCAGCAGTGCTTTGGGTGGCGCCCGCCCGCGTAATCCGCGTCGCTGGTTGGCGCCAGGCACCAACACACGCACTCCCCCACACAGACGCTTTGCGATCGCGCTGTGTTGTGAGCTAGCACCGAAAGCGGGACATGTGCTGTTGTACGGGCATCTTTCGCATCAAACAAGTAAACTTCCCCATCAAGCGACGCTGCCATGACGAAGCTGCCGGTGGGGTCGACAAATACTTTGTACGGGTTTTTCACCGTCACCGAGAACAGTCTCAGATCGTCGTTGATATTGTGCGCCACTAGCACACCATCCCCAAGGAGAATTGCCATCACTCCACGCTGACAGTCCATAGAGATAATCTGCAGCTCCCCTAGACTCGATAATTTTTCGATCCATAGCGATGAGAGTTCGAAGCGTGGGATTACTGTATCGGAATCCAACGAAGCTTCGCCCGGAGTCATCGTGTTCGGAAATAGATCCTCACTGTCCCTCAAAAGGGTATCGTACCCATGCATATTTCTTATTTTTTCACTTTTGCAAGCTTCCTTTCGTCCTCTAATTACAACCGGGCACACTCCCTCTTCTGAGGGGATACGCAAAGGCAAAGAAGTACATATAGTGATGGAGTACAAATTGGTAGGTGAAAAAATGATATCGTAAACCCAGAGTTCAATTCAACCAGTATTTTTTCCTTGAGAGTAGCAAAAAGTTACAGATTCGGGAGACTACGTGTTTTTCCCTTGATGATTTCCTCCAGTTACCAAATTCCAATTTCCTTTTTGCTTAATGACAATTTATATAAAAAGTCCCACACAATTCTTATGATAAGAATTATGAAGTGCAAAAGACCAGCAACTGAACTCCTAATGAAAGTAAAAAGAATAGTAATATTAGGTAAATAATCATCACCCTCGCTATGCGGAATAAGCAACAATTAGAAAAACGGCAAGAAGCACCACTAAAATAATAAGAGGTGCATATACTGCAGCACACGCAGACCAAGAAGTATACTTACTGTGCAAAGCTATTCCAAGACATATCGTGAGCATGTTTTCCCTCTGAGGGCGAATTGTCTGTCGGTTAAGGCAAGCTGCCACGAAAGAGTGACAGTTATTGGTGAAGAAGTTGTAATGCTCCGCAAGGCAAAAGTGACCTTTGGTGAGGCTAATGGCAGCGTCGTAAGCGTTGATTTCGTCTTGAATTTTGTCGTCATCAAAGTTAACGGAATCCTTCGGGCGATTATAGAAAGACGGTACGTAGATGTGTGAGATATCCCAGTACTTCAACGGATATCCAAAAAGCATGCGATCCGTGACGATATGACAGGTACCCTGAAAATCGTAAATCCTTCCTTCGCTGTCGCAGATACCGACATGCCCAATGAAAGGGAAAATCCAGGAGATGATTGGGATCGACGTCCACACAATGCAAAACGGGTAGCGATTCTGCATCAAATTGATCCTGGGTGGCAGGGGGAAGCTATGATTCTTGACATCGCTAAGGACTCGGTGGTCCGAGGACGTGGACATCATTGAACAATCTGGCTTCGCTATTCAGAACAAACGAGTAAATTTTCTCACGACGTCCAGAAAAGACAAAAGAAAAAGAGAGAAAAGAGATCTCCAGATCAGTTTCACTTTACACGAGCGTGAGGTCACAGGTGCCACGCCAGTGTCCTTACGTTGTGTTAGCCCAAAGAGGGAAGCGAAGAACGGCGATGCTTGATATGGCCGCATAAAACAGAGTAGAAGATGAGAAATCCCTTACGCAATTCAATACGCGAATAGTAATACATCGATAAATCACTTGTGCAAAAGCGCTTGTCAGGGAGTCCCTTACCCCCTGGTGAGGGAAAAAAAGCATGGAAGCCCTTTTTCACCGCTTCGAGTCTTTTGCCGTTTCGGTGCCACGGATCGCCCTTTGCGCATCATCATGGACGACCTCTTCTATGAGTGGAAAGCGCTTATCTGGAATCCCGCAGAAGTAGACGTTTATGAACCTCAGGAAACGCTCTTTATAGTCTGGCGGTCCGATAATGGTTGGATCTCTTCCGGTATACCCCAGCACCGTGTCGATGCCTGACTTGACCCTTGATTCCAGTAACTTGGCACCTGTGTATGGGTGCAAAAAATCTATGAGCCCGAGCAGGATCTCTCCCCGCGACGAGTCAAGAGCCACCAGGAGGGAGTAGTCCATGATGCCAGAGCTGCTCAGAAGCTGGGTATCTCGGCATAGGCTTTTCATCATCAAGTGCTTTTGCGCACTCGAGCAAAATAAGAAATGCCCACGTCGAATCTGATCGACCAGATCACCATCCAGTTTCACGCTTGAACCCTCCGGCGCGGTTCGATTGCGTTGACTTCCTTTCAGGTCAAACGCAAGATCAACGTGTACACCCGTGCGTAAAGTGAGGTTTTCCATAAGCACATAGTATTGGGTTTCTCCCACCGTGCTCGTGCAGCTGCCCTCTTGGCAGCTACTCCTACGAGTGATTTGAATCGCGTAAAGTCCCAACGCCTTTGCCAGGAGGACACCGGCGGCATTCGGAGGCTGTTCTGACGACCCTTCCTCCCCGGTCTTGGCGTTCTCGGAAGACTGGCAGGCGAAGCAGCGCGCCATGTGGCGAAAGTACTCAGGACCCCACGTCAGCAGGAAGTGCTTCATCTCCATCCACTTGATCCGCTTGAGCAGAAGCCCATCCCAGGTGCGATAGAACTTCGCGCTCGACTTGCCCCCTTGCATGCACTCCACACTGCACCGCGCAAGGGACCGCAACAGCGATTTTTCGGGAGCGCTTTGGAAAAACATGTACTGCAGCGCTGCAAAAGGTTCGGGGAAGAAGACGTCGACCGTGACCGATCCAATTAGCTCGCCAGACGGTGAGGCCAACCCACGGAGGGTGATACTGCGCCGGGTGGTGTGGCTGGTAAGCCCCGGGCGTTTTTCCCTCTTGCAGGCCTCTATCAGGATGTGATAGGCCTCGTCCGCGGTTTTCGGGAAGCAAACCGGGCCCTCAACCGCCTCGCCGGGTGCAGAGTCCGTCGTGCCTTGGCTGCTCTTCGTGGCAGCAGCGCCGGCGCCCTCCTCCAAACCTTTCCCCAGCTCCGTGTCGATCCCAACCGAGGTCGCCAGAGTAATCGCGTCAGGGGGTGGGGGTGAGGGGCATTCCGCGAATGCCCCAGCCGGCCGCTGCAGGGGTTCGGGTGGCGGGGATGATTCCCCCTTTTCGGAGTTGCCGAAGGCGAAGGCGTTGGTTCCCGTGGCGCCCACCCCATACAGCCGTGTGAGCGCCACGCTCAGAAAGCTCGTGGGCTCGTCCGCCCGGAGGGCTAATTGGTCGACCGGACTAAACCACCACCGGTGGTTTTCAACGCTCGCGAGGAAGGAGAGAAAGGGAGGTTTGCCGTTCGCGCCGGACTTCCGTGGCGCGCCCTCCGGCTCGCCTTCCTTTGGCGGGTATGGCGCTCCCTCCCCCGCGGCGTGCCGCCGGCCCCACTCCTTCACGTCCCTCACCAGAAAGCGAAGGGCACCCCAGCGGAGGTCGTTGATCGCGGCGACGGTGGTGAGCTGCGCGGTGGTTTGGATGAGCTCCTCGACGCGTTGGAGAAGGGTGGGGTGGGTGGGCTGGGAGGCCTCGCCGCAGAGCGAAGAGGCCAAGGGAAGGCGATAGCTGGAGGGAAGGGAGCGGGGAACGACCGCCACCGCGAGTGCTGGGCTGTTGGAATCGGGAATCGGCGTGTCGTTCGATGCAACCCCTTGTGGGGTTGGGACCGCAACCTCGTCAAGAGCACGAGAAAGTGCGGACTGAAGCGCGGTAAGATCGGAATACAACTCGCGACGCTCCAACATCACATCACCTTCTTCATTCTCCAGCAATGGGGAGGATGGCAGAGTTGTATTTGGTGCTGCTCCCACCACCGTTGCAGCGGGTTCCCATTCAAGAGCGCAGCATGGGGGGCGCAAGCGATACACCCTCAGCGGCTTAACATCCAATCGGATCAACACCACAGGGCGGGATGCGGGCAGGTAGCAGACGAAGCAAACCGCAAATTCCTTATTCATCGACCGTGAGCAAGGTACGTGATGCAGGGAGGTGTGTGCATTAAACAGAAGCTCGAAAAAAGAGCCCATCGACAGATTCAGCGCGTGCTGCGACAGAAAATGCAGCTCCACTGGCGGCTGATCCTGCTCCGATTCGCGCACCAGGTTGCTACAAAAAGGGCAGTTGATGTAGCAGCCCGGCGGCCTCACGAAGTAGCTGACCATATCCCAAATGGGTCTGGATAAAGAATCCTTTTCTTCACACACAAGCCTAAACGCAAGGGATTTGCTCTGAATCTCCAGAAAAGCTTGTAGAGACTCGTCCTCCGACGACTTCGCTCCCTGAAAGGCCTCTGGCGCGTTGCACTTCGAGACTATAATTTGATGCTCTGCATGACATATCATCACACGAGACCTCAGCCGCCCCTTCGAATGTTTAACTAAAAACCCCAACACCGTCTGGTCCTTGTCCTTTTGGTAAAATGCGTAAGTGTCGTGATTTCGCGCACGGCTGCCTCTTGCCGACGCGGACGCCTGAATATCACCACTCGTGGGAAACTCGGAATTAGGCTCACTTTGATACCCACCGGCGGTTAACGTGGCTAGCGGTTCGGAGCGCAGCGTATCTAGCGCGATGTACTGAACGCTGATCTGGTCACGCAGACGATCATGTGCATCGGCGCTCCTCGCCTTGTCGTGAAACAAACGAACCACATCATCCCCGAAGTGGATGCCGTAGTTCATCGAAAGTGCAGCACATCGCTGCTGGGGCTGTAAGAAATAGTGCACGCTCTGAAGATCGGCAAACTTTATGCTTCGTGTGCACGGATCAAAAGACACGCCCGAAGCGTTGTTTGTTTTCTGGACTGCCATCCCCAAATCCCAGAGGCTGCAGCCCTGCAACAACACGTGGTAAGCTGTGGCAAGGCTCTCCAGCAGCCATGCTTTGATCTGATGGTACTTCAGCCCCACGGTGGCGTTTGGATGGGTTCCTCGTAGCACCACGGTCGAAAACATCGACGTGGGCAGCTGCTCAAAAACACACAACGGTGGCTCCGCCTTACTCACCTCCACCACGCGAAAGATGCCGCACGTCCCCAACGGCGTCTTCTCATCGCGCAGATCTGATACCGTAATGTAATGCAAATCGTATACCACCGTCGCCCCACAGCAAGAGGCCAGCCGCGTTAGTAGCGAGGAGCCCACATTGAGCACCAAACTCATCGTGCCCGTGTTGGCAACGCAGGTCTGCAGGTAATGATGCATGCCGCCCTCTACCACAATCACCTGGGGTGCCCATACCAGAATACGGTGGAAGAGCTTGTCCAGATGACCTTGGTAGGAGTCCACATACTCACTGAAGCTCAATGATTGCATTTTGTAAGAAACACGACCCCCGAGGAAAAGAATTCGAGGGTTTTCCCAATAAGACGGCATTCGCTTTGAGGTGAGGGAGCGCTTAAATGCAACACCAGAAACTATATCAATCTGGTAGGGGCTCTCCCAATCAACCTTTGCGTTCGTCTTTGTTTCGTCCACATGCGAATTCAACGTCACGATCTCAACGTGATTGTGAATGTGCCCGCCTAACGTCACTGTTGTTTTGGCAAGCACTCGCGCCGTGGTAGCGTAGATCGCCTGCAGCCAAGGCGTACTCCATAAGACTAGATTGGATAGTTTGTTGCCATCTCCGCTCTCTCCATCACTTTCACCTGGGATGCCCCCTCCAACGGACTGCTCCATGATCTCGATGAACGTGGGGCTGTTCAGTACGCGCCTCAGCCAATGCATGGCAAACCATTCCTGCGTATCGGGGCTTTCCAAGAAGTGATGCAGGGTGCCGCCCTCCTTCGGCATACAAGGCGAATTTTTCGGCATATTCGCGATCATTCCCTTCGCTGCTGAAGGGTAGCCCGTCGAAAGCAAAAGGGGCTCCGCGAAGGATATGGTAAGATCGAACACATCCCTCCCATTCCACGTGGGTATGACGATGGGGTCTCCAGTGAGGCTACAATAACCCCCCTGCGGTGAGGATAGCAGGAGAGGGTCCGTCTCAGTTGTCAATGCGGAGAGGTTCGCATCGTTTAATTGCTCCTCAAGCCATTTCTGTAAACTATTCTGATAGCGTGATGGCAGTCGAGCCATTGCGTATGAAATAGACTTTTCCTCGTCAGTCTCTGGGTGTGACAGGAATGCCATGGGGGATGGGTTATGTAGTTGGGGATTTGTCGGGCACATTTCCACGTCTTCCCGCCACGCACGTTCAAGAGAATCATCAAGGCATTCGCGTCGAGCACTCAATGACCGGCTGCCCACCCGCATTACCTCCTGCGGTGTACACTGCAAGGGTTCCGGAGCGACGTGCACAGATCCAGGAGTCTTCACTACAAGAGAGCCTATTGAGGGTGGAGAGAAGCCCCCCTGTTTACACTCCTCCGCATTTTGGGATTGCTGAAGGTGATGCTCTGAGTTTGATTCCCCTGTATTGCGCTGATGTTGCATCGCCCCGGAGGCGCATCGTCTGCATACTCTCTCTGGCAGTTGATGCTGTCGCTCTTGGTCTTCCAAAGCGTTGAGGTTAGCACTAAAGGAATTTGAAAATGATACCGCCAAACTCCGTGGTTGTATTGAATCGCGGGAAATGAGCTGGAATAGACAGGTGGAGCAGAATACTTGTCCACAAAGTCGACAATGATGACGGCGACGGAAGAGAGTGAACTTTTCACCACAGCCCCGGCAGCGCAAAGCGTAGCGATCTTCTACCCATAGTGAGCGATCAGCATTATGCATTCCTAAGCTAAAAAAAATAGTAAAATAGTCTAATCTATTTTCATTGATGAAACTGTCCTTAAGGTTATAGAACTGATTTCACAAAGGCTAGAATAAAGAAGGCAAATATTTTATTGTCGCTGCTTCATTTACCATTTGGCGCGCCGAAGCAAAAATAGGGAACAACAAATAAAATCTTTTTTGTCAAAAACAAGCCCGTTTTATCTAAAAACTTCTTTCCTCAGGCATTCGTATGCCAAACTCAACATGTTTATCAATATAAATCAATACCTGTCAGCTAAGTAGGTTAAGACATTTTTTTTAGTCCGACAATTTTATCATCTCCTCAAGCCTACCACACACTTTTAAGAAGCAGGAAAAAAGACATACATACACATAAGATATCCAATAATGTGAATAAACATGTTTATTGATTTTCATAACGGGAGAAATGCTAATTTGTACCTCACTTTTTCACCTTTAAAAAGAGTGGTGATTGAGATGTATAATTCCTATGGTGTACTCCCCTTGATATAGTGAGTCTTAATATCATCCACTATGTGAAAAGTAAAACAATGAGACTCTTCGTTATGAAAAAAACAGAGTCCAGGGCAGCGCAACGGCAATCACAATAACACACACAGACGCACACAGAAAAAAAAGCTACATACCAATATATATATAGAGATAATATATATATTAACGCCCCAAAAAAATGCTGCGGTAATAATTCAGGGATAGGATGCAAAACAGTTATAAATTCCTAGCTGGCGATATGCGCTATCTCAAGAGAACAAAAAAGGAAAAAAAGCATCAAAAAAATACTTTAAAAGTAATTGTTTTTTTTATTTTATACTATTGCCCCTACTCACCTTTTTGTGTGTTTGTTGTAATGTATCTTTATGAGTCGTTTTAATTAATTGGGATTTGCTCACGGTTGTTCACTTTTTTTTTGTCTTCGTCGTCGTCCTAGGCGAAGCATTCATGGATGATCTGGCGCTCCTCCTCGACGTGGATGGAGCCGTAGCCGGTGGCCGGCGAGGCCGAGTTTTCTCGCCCGATGTACGTAATCCGCGGCTGTCGGACACCGAGGTGCCGCATAAGGGAGTTCATCCGCGGCCGCATGAAGGACCACATCCCCATATTCTTCGGCTCCTCTTGCAGCCACACCAACTCCACCTCAGGGTTCAGCGCCACATACTTCTCGATCACATCCGCCACCTGCTCCCACGGGAAGGGCGCGAGCTGCTCGAGAGTGATGAGGATGAGGTCGTCGTGTTTGTGGGGCTCCTTCGCCTGGATCGCCGCGCGGGCCTCCGCGACGATGCTCTCGATCTGCCCGGAGCAGAAGAGCAGCTTGCGCGGCTTCGTCTTCGCGGCGCCGGTGTCGAGCACCGCGCGGAAGGTGGTATCCCCCGCGAGATCCTCCAGCCGCGAGAGATTCGGCGCGCGGAGACGGGCCTTGGAGAAGAAGAAGACGAGCGGCTTCGCGAAGTCGCGCAGCCCCTGGCGGCGGAGCATGTGGAAGTAGCTCGCCGGGGTGCTCGGGTAGCAGACCTGCCAGTTCCGATCGCGAATACGCGCCTCCAGCATCTGGTCGCTCGGGAGCTTCCGGAAGGTGTTCGGGAGGGCGTCGACGTCGTCGCTGAGTTGGAGGTAGCGCTCGATGCGCGCGGAGCTGTGCTCCGGCCCCGCCCCGGAGTAGCCATGCGGCAACGAGAGGACGAGGCTCGAGCGCATCCCCCACCGCTGCTCCACGACGCTGAGGACGTGGTCGAAGATCACCTGGGCGCCGTTCGCGAAGTCCCCGAACTGCGCCTCCCAGATCACGACGCTCTTCGGGTTCTCCAGGTTGTAGCCGAGCTCGAAACCGCAGACGCCGAGCTCGGAAAGGGAGCTGTTGCTGATCACAAAAGGCGCCTGATCGGGCGAAAGGGTCGCGACCGGGGTGTATTTCATATTCGTCAGCATATCCGTGATGGTGGCGTGGCGCTGCGTGAAGGTGCCCCGCTCGACGTCCTCGCCGGTGAATCGGACATGGATGCCCTTTAACGATAAGGTCCCCAGCGCCATCAGCTCCGCCTGGCACCATTCAATGGCGTCGCCGTTCTGGATGCCTTTGTTGCGATTCGCGAAGGTGCGCTCGACGACCGGGTGGGCTTTCTTCATCTCCCTCGGGATGGTCGCGACGTGGAGGCCGACGGTCTTGAGGAGCTCGGCGTTCTCCCCGGTGATGATCGCCGGCGGGGGGGCATTCAGCAGGCTCTTCGCCGCCTTGACCTTCTCCGAGGAAAGGTCCTCCGAGGTGTTCTCCGACTCCGGATGGAAAAGGAGGACCGTCTTTGGGAATACCTGAGCGGTGATCGCGCGCTCGAACTCATTCTGCATCGTCTTTTCGTACTCGTTGACCTCCGCGTTGAACTCCTCTGGGGTGATCAGATTTTCGTCAATGAGGGTCTTGGAGTAGATCTCAATCAGGCGCGGGTGTTCCTGGATCATCCTGTACATGTTTGGGTGGGTGAAATCCGGGGTATCGCGCACGTCGTGCCCGTAACTGCGGTAGCAAACCAACTCCAGAATGACATCGCGCTGGTAGTGCTGTCGAAAGCGAGTGGCAATACGGGCGGCGCGAACACACGCCTCGGCGTCGTCGCCGTTCACCCGGATGATGGGGGATCGGTTTATCTTACCGATATCCGAACAGTAGGCGCTGCCGCGGGAATCCCTCGGGTCGGTTGTGAAACCAATTTGGTTGTTGATGACAATATGGAGGGTGCCGCCTACTTTGTAGTTCTTTAGATTGCACAATCCCATCAACTCATAACAGGCACCCTGGCCGCTCAGAGAGGCATCGCCGTGAATCAGAATGGGCATGGTGTGCGTTTGCCCGATATCGCTCGTGTACATCTGCCGCGCGTGCGTCTTGCCAAGCACCAGTGAGGTCGCCGCCTCGGAATGGATGGAGGTCGGCATCACTTCAATTCCCATTTGCTTCCCGTTCGGCAGATGCACGGAGTTGCGGTAACCGAAATTAAGGAAGATGTCATCCTTGTCCGCGCCATCCGGCGGGGCATCGTTGATGAACTCATAAAACAGATCCTTAAGAGGTTTTCCGCAGACGTTTGCGATCACGTTGAGGCGTCCACGCCACGCCATCCCAACGATACAGTGCTCCACGCTGTTGCTGCTAGCCTCGTTGATCGCGGCCTTCAGGGCGAGTACCAAGGCCTCCGAGCCCTCCAAACCGAAGCGCGTTTGCATGGGGTACTTCGAGTACAAAAATCGCTCAAGTTTGGTCGTCTTCACCACATCGCTGAGGATGCGCTTCTTGTCCTCCAGCGAAAAGGCCTTCAGGCTGCCCAAGATCTCATGTCGAAACCAGTTGCGGAGGGCGGTCGGACCGGAAGAGGTGAAGTCGAAGCCGATGGAGCCGCAGTACATCTGCTGCAGCTGCTTGACGATCTGCTCGAGCGTCATGGCGGTGCCGCCACTCACGAAGGTCGCCTTCTGATTGCTACCGAAAGTGACGTGGAAGACCTGCTCAAGATCCTCCTGCGAGAATCCGAACGCTGCGGGGTCGAGGTGGAGATCGTTGAGACTGCGGGAGCTGGTAAAGGCGCCGTTGAAGGGGTCCACCTTCGCGACGTGGTGCCCCTTGCTCTCGTACTCCTTGATCATCCACGCCAGACGCATGTTATCCAGACGCTGCTTCTCTGAGAGTGTCTTGACGTCGATCGGCCGGCTGAACGCGGTCACCACCGGCATCTCCACGCTCCCGGAGCGAATCGCCTCCAGCACCGGAAGCCAACTCACATCCACCGACGCGCGATCCTTCTCGTACAATTTGAGGAGATTTTCGATGTACTCCTGGTTTTCAGCGGCGACGATCTGATCGTACGGGTAGGGTTCGCGGACCGTGCGGGCATCGGTGTAGCTCCGTAAGAAGGCAGCGCTAGCCAGAAGCCTCTCCTGAAACAAACGACGCATCGATATTTAAAGTGGCAGTTTCCAGTTTAAAAATTTATAACCATATATTTCAGATTCAAAATTGGGCAAAAAAAGGGACCCTTGCGTAAAAAAAAAATTCACTACTTCGTATTTGTCTAAAAATTAGAAAATATTACTTCAAGTTCGTGACTACTTGTTTTGGTTTTTGTTGTGTTGTTGAGAATCTCTTATTGAATTACAAATGAAGGAAAAAAAACGAAGAAGAGAAGCAAAAGCAAGAAATTAAAGTACACCCTCCCAATTCACTTGGTAAGAATCTTTTGTAATCAAACAAACGTGAAAGAAGGAATTGAAATTTGTCAATATTAAGCAGCTGCAGGAAGTATCTTTGACTTTGGAATAACTACAGCTTCGAGGTTTGATGCACTTTTCCAACTTGGTATAGCCTCCGTTATCAAGAGCTCGCCAAACGCAACTAGATCTATTCCTCCCGACGCACTTTTAGTGCCTTGCTCTTTACAGCAAAGCAGAAGCTCGACTGAGTAGTATACTCGACCCTCGTCCTAAAGGACAAGTTCGCCAAAGTAGTGTCGCTCACGATAATTTTTTTTAAACTGTTCAAGGAAGAATCGACTCCCAACGTGAAGCACAAGGGGGAATCAGAGACAAAAGCTATAATTGCTGGATAAGCGAACCCACATATGCATAGAGCACATCACTAAGCCATTGGAAAGAGAATCGCGTAAAAAAAATGAGTGTAATATGGATTCGACTCCCATGAAACTCATGAAAGGAGCTTCATTGAATTGTTAGGAAATATTCTAAATAGAATGATAAAATCAAGAAATATAGAAATGAAAACCAGAAAGAAAAAAAACATATATGTTATAAAGGGAATGGGGGAAAAGCAAATCGCTTGTCTGCAGAAGCTATTAATGAACCAAAGATTCATTCCCTGATGGGATTACATATTGTATGCTTGTTGTTGTGGTGGTGGTATACACGTACCGATAAAAATACATCTATCAGGCAAGAAATGGCTGAAAGAGGGTGGGAGAAGCTTTATTTTACAAATTTAAGCATATCAAAGCCACTTACCGATAAAAATAAAAGTGAACAAAAGTGGTACGAATATGCAAAGGCAACCCAAGGGCCTTCACTACGGCCCGCTATTAAATACATTGTGGGGAAGCTAGATCCCAGCGCTTGCTTCTGTATATAGATTTCAGCTTGGCCCTTATTCTGATTTCATATCCGATATAAATGCGAGCGTGTGAGACAAAGTTGAGGTTCCGTTAAAAAGGCGCATCAACTCCTCATACGTGACTCGCGGATATTTCTTGGTGAAAAGCTTCGCTACCAGTGCATTGAGTTCCTCATTGGTCAAAGAGGTGATATGCAGCTTCTGCCTAATACACATCTTGAACTCATCCACGCCAATCAAACCGTCTTTGGCGTAATCTGTGATCGCGCGCAGCTCCTTCATAAACAGCTGGCGGCGTTGTTCGTATAGTTCCTTTATTTCATCCGCGGCGCGTGCGGCGAGGAGGGTTTCCGTCGCGAGGCGTTGCTTTTCCGCCTCTGCTTTCGGATCGTGCACAAAAGCGGCAGTTTCCTCCTTCAGGCTTTCGTCATGGATCGTCTTCCAGGGGCGATCGTCGCCGCCTAAAACGGTACCCTCCGGCAGAATGCGTGACGCCACCTCCTCGTAGGAGACGTAGGATTCGTTATTTTTGTCAAAAAAGCGAAGAATCGTCAGGATCTCCTGCTCGGACATATCTAAGTGGAGCTCCGCCATAATCGACAAAAACACCGACATCTCCAGACCGCCCTGGTGAACGTCATCGGCGCGGCGGAAGGCCGCAGCGAGGCCGCTCTGTTTGCTCCGCAGCATCGCCCGCATCTTGCGCACGATTTTGTTGATATCGGAGTGCGAAAACTCCTCCCCGTTATTCTCCATGTAGCACAGGGAGCGCTCGTCCGATTTGAGGATCATGAACGGGAACGCGTTGATGATCACGCGCGCGCCGACAAAGAAGTCGCCGCTGGTGTAAAACTCCTCACTCCCCGGGCGTTTCACCTTCTGCCGCGAGAGAAACTTCCCGCCGACGATGCCGCTGTTTCGCATGACGGGTTCGAAGATCGCGATGGTGTCGTCCGCAGGGTAGACGGTGAGCACGAAGCGCCGGATCGAATCCTCGTACTTGCCGTTGTCGAGCACGACGAGAAACTTCACGGAGGCGGTATCAAAGCGATGCCGGCGGAGCTCCGCCGATCCGACGGCGTGCGATTTGGCTTGTTTTTCATCCTCGCTGAGCTCCCGACGGCGCGCGCCTGGGGGCTCAAACGGGGGCGGAATCGCCCCCGGGATGGGCGCGTACTCGGTGATCCCATACGTCGTCGCGAGGTGATCGCGAGTGAAGGCGTCGTAGTCGTGGATGAGGAAATGGCGGCCGTAGAGGTTGAGCACGTTGCCGATCCGGATATCCTTGTCGGTGTAGTATGCCACATTCTTCGGCTCCTTAAACGTAACGGAGCCGAGGGCGATGGAGTCGAACCGGGCGGACGGATCCGTCGGCTTCACCACGCGTTGACGGCTGAAAAAGACGGGGAACGGCTCGCGCCCGCTGTTCGGGGTGTTCTTCTCCGCCACCGCGATGCTGCCGTCGGCGAGGAAGTAATAAAGCGTCATGTAATGCTTATAACCATAGACGCTGGCGGAGTCATCCCAGGTGCAATCGCAGCGAAGGACCTGGCGGTCGTACGCGAGAAAGCGCTGCGTCGCGCGCACCTGCTCGGGCGTGAGCTGGTTGTACAGCGGGCTCGTCGCGGTGATGGATTGCAGACGATTGGGCGCCCCCCGCTTGGCGGCGTGGCTCATCGCGTATTGATCGAGCGGAACGGACAACGCCGGGGCCTGTTCGGTGCCCTTTTCCCGGTAAAAATCCCGCGTAAAGGCGTCCGCGTCGTAAAGGAGGTAGGTCTTGCCGTAAAACGTGATGGGCTCGCCCACTTTCAGATCCTCCAGGGTGATCGGGGTGCCATCCGGGTGCGGCACGAGGTGGCGCTTGAGGTTGGCGCGGAAGGTGATGCCGGAGTTGTCTTCCGACGGCTCCGACACGCTCATCGTGCCGTCCTCTAAGTAAAACCGCAACACCACCTTTCGAAGTCGCTCCACCTCCACCACACTCTCCGCCACGCTCTCGACGGTGTAGCCATAAAACCGGAGGACGTAGCCGGTGAGATCAAAGGCGGCGCCATCCGAGAGCGCCGCATCCGCGTCGTTCGCGTTCGTCATGGGAAGGGAAGAAACGAATTGCTGGTTCACCCGGCTCATATCCGCCGGTACCGCGTCGAAAGTGGTAGCGCAGTCGAGGCCCGATCCGACGATGTGGGAACGGTGGTAATTTCGTCGTAGCATTTCTTCACCACAGGACATCCCGGGAACCATTGGCAGGCGGAACTCCTTTTTCATCATTTGGGATGTTTGAAACGCCATCGGTTTGTCTTTCTAGAGTAAATAATAACAATAACAAAAACAGCTCACAAGACTCTTCAGAGGTTTGAAAATCCTTCGTTCACTCGCTTGAGGAGGGTGAGATTGTTCAGTGCTAAAGGCATACAACATATGAGCACAGGAGATAAAAGAAAGAGGAAAAAAGGTATAAATTTAGGAATAGTCTACAAACAGATAAAGGAACATGAAAGTTGGGCAATGATAAAGAATATTTAGGGCCCCTCGACGCAAAGTCACTTGCGCGTGCATGTTTCCTCTCCCTTCTAAGGGAAGGCAGACGATAATCTACACTATAAAACCCTAAGGATCTGCTCTCCTTTTTACCCCTTAAGAAAAAAATTGTTTCAATTTGCTCAATACCATCTGTTAAACTTAGCTTTGTTTATTTGTCTATAAATTATTATACGTGCAACATATCCAATAAAATTTAGCCTTCTGGGAACAAAGTAGAGGGACAAGTGGTACAGGATCGCAAACCTGTGTCTATACACAATTAATGGCTTCAACATAAAAAAAATAGCTTTTCTGAAGTTCACTCTTTAAAAACTCAAATATACAACAGCATTGGCCCACACATGAAGTGTTATGATATACGAATAATATTTTCCAATCCTAGGGAAAAATTGCTGGATTTCGAGAAAAGAGGGAATGTGATTGGGAAATAGAAATGCAGTCGAGGCCATTCCGTGAAAGCCACTTCTTGTGGAGGTATCCCAGGCGGATGGGGCACAGAAAAAAGGAAGAATGCCTTAGTCATAAGCACCAAAATCTGGTGCTGCATTCTTACATAAGTAGGGGGAAAATAGTCTAGGATTGGTTCGAGACTTCTATTATCATACATAGTTCAGATTCAACATCTTTCAAAGTTAATAGTAAAGCCAAATTTCGAATCACTCAGCAAACATACTTTCCTGACAATTCAAAAAAAAAAAACGTATTCGAGTGCCAAGAATGATGAGAATAAAGAGTGGTGTACACCCGAGCTCATCGCATTCATTGTTTTTTGCCGACGAATTAAACAAAAGAATCAAATAAGTAACGGTTATGTAAAGGAGCCGAGTAAATCGCGCCGCTGTCGTCCTGGACTATTACATACTTTTCAAAGCACCATACCCCACGCAAATCACGCAGCGGCGTGGCGCCCATCCACAGGCGCGCAAACACGTAAATACCTGATGCGTCTAGTAGCTGAACCAACCCGTTCGAATAGCCAAATGCGATGTAGCGTTTTTCAGAGTAACTAGAAACACACACACAGGCCTTTTTGTTTGACTCCGCCTCATCAATCATGATGCCTGTTTCCTTCGTTTTCCACTTCTCCCCATCGTACTGCAGCACCTCCCCTGTGCAACTCAACGCAAGCATGGAGGTATCATTCTCGCTGCCTTGCTTGGAGCCTAGAAGAGCGTACGAGGAGCCTTGGTACAGCACTACAATGCTCACCTCATGTGAATCGATCCAGTGTACTTCTCGTATGATGCTAGGCGCAGGGTGATTTGGCATATTGGGCAGCTTAATAGGCTCCAGCGGGGTACTTTTGAAGCCTAATGAAGTATAGACCCTAGTGCAGAATAGAACCAAATCCTCAACCCAAGTGATGTTGATGACATCTTTACTAGAGGGAGTTTCATAGCTTGCGGCGTAAAAAGGTTTACAGGAAAAAGGATCTCGCACCTTCACACTTTTAAGCGTCTTCGAGAACCCAAGAGGTGCTGGCGGGGAGAGCACCATCTTTGGGATTACTCGATAACCAGTCGAGTCATCCGCCATTTCTACGGAGAACACCTGAATCAGGCCTTTTGTACTTTGCACCACCACCGCCGCTGACCACTCCGCACTTTCCTTACCCGTCTGCGCTGCGGAGGATTCTAAAAGAGTCGCCGAAAATGGGATGAAATCATCAAGCGGTTTCAACTCCACCAAACCATCGCTATCGCGCTCAGAATCAGTGGATACTAAAATTCCAAGCCATCCTCGCGCCTTCGCGATGGAGCTCGGATTATCAGACAAACACACCACTATGATATTATCTACAACTTTTGAAAAAGATATCGGGAAGTACGACTTAAGCTTCCATAAGTTCATCTGAATCCAAATGCCTGATTTAAAGTCGGCGGAATCTAGACAGAAAGCACGTACGGATTCCCGTTGAACCCCAATAAACATTTTTTCCACCGTGGCATCCCAGTGTATGCACGTCACGACGCTGTTCTTGGGAAGCATAATCGAACCATATTCTGAGGAATTCGGTTTGCTGTGATCAATAATCGAGATGGTATTATTTTTGACATTTGCTATAAGAAGCGTCCCACCGCTTTTCGCACTTTCAATTAAAAATGGAACCGCCATGACAGGCGGTAAGGGATCGGAGGAAGAATCCCTGACGGCGGCCCTCCCAACTGAGACCGTTTGCACATGTCGGAGCTTGTAGTCTAAAGCAGTGATATATCCATTTGAAGAGACCGTCAGCAGCTGCCTCCATGTATTATCATTCCCCAACTCGAGCACAATTCCGTTGATAGCGGTTTTGCACATGCAAAAGCGATATAGCGTAGTCGTTTCACTAGTTTTTGCCTTCGCATCTGCAAGCTCAAACCCGGCGTAGCCGATCACCCAAAGGAAGCCGTTCACAGCCCCCACCAGCACCAGTTTGTTGGCGTCATCAAGGAACATCGAGCTGACGCCACCGATCTCCTCAAACTTTGCCTTGGTACCCTTCTGGCAGTGGTAAAGCGCGGCGCCGCTGTAGAGGCTTCCGCTTATATTGATCCGTTCGTTCGCTAACAGGTGGTTAATCGAAGCGTGGTGGAGCTTCGTTTGGTAGATTATTTCAATCGAGCAAGTCTCGTCGGCGGGATTCCCGTCGATTACCCACCGTCGGACGTAACCATCAGTGCTGCCGGTATGCACGACGCACTGCGAGGCGTGTGGGGTTGCCCGGACGTAGACAGCGGTTACCCCACTACTGCGATTTATCGGCGTTGCCGCTATCTGCGTGAGCGTCTCGCCATCCCATCGCCACACACTCAACGGCACGTCCGTGGCCGCGATTAGCAAACCTGCAGAGACCCCAAGCTGCCGCTCCGTCTTCCGGTTTGGGAGCCATTCCAGATGGGCGATGTTCCCCAACCCACGCGTCTCCCCATCCCACAAGCAGTTCGCCGTCTTGGGGAGGAGATCCCACACACAGACCATGTAATCCAGCGCCGCGGTGGCCACGAGGCTCGGATGGGACGGGTGCACCGCCATGCTCGTGATGCGGGCGGAGTGCCCGTGGAGCTCGTAGAGCGGGGCGAAGGTTTTGACATCCCAGACGTAGACGTTATGGTCACTCTCCAGAGTGTCCTCACTGGACTCGCACTCCACCCGCGTAATCAGGATGCTCTCGGTCACAATACACTGTGTCACGGCGGTGTGGACCCCGTGGATGCAGTTCCCAATTACCTGCAACGTCTCCCACGCACACACGAGCAGCTGCCCTTTTCGCTGACAACATAAGAAAGCTGAGAGGCCCGAGGAGGAGGCGGTGGAATTGGGAACAGGAGAGTGGACCTGCCGGGAGGCGAGCTCGCGCAGGCCAACCACACCTACGGCGAACTTCTTGAGGTTGTTTGGGCAAGAGGGGGGGGCGGCACTCGGGCGGAAGGCCTGAGTCCCAACCACCTGGTAAGGGGTTCTTGCCACCTGGAGGTTAAAAGGACCTTGGAATGTCATCAAGGGGGTTTAAAGATGGCGATGAGATTGCACTCGAAGTATACCGGTCTTCCTAAAGTTTTGTGTTTAATGAGTTAATGCAACGGCTTTGATTCACTACAAGAAATATCGTGCAGTTTCACGGTATTCAAGTCATAATGGATAAGGAAACAGAGGAAATCGAGGAGATCAAAGAGTGAGAATGCAATAAGGCGCTGCCCAGTCAACAAATATCAAAGAGATTCGATTGAGAAAATTGGGGTCGAATTACAACAACAGAGAAAACCACGTACAATATGGGTCATACCCTGACATCCACGCACACATCCTCACAAAGGCATTCAAGCGTAATTCCAAAGCAGCACGGGGTGTTTAACGTTCTCAGAAGGGCTACATTTCTCTCTTTTTATGCGTGCGTAAGGGTAGACATGTCTTAATTTTGAGATGATGCGGAGGCAAACGATTCATCCGCTCTCGATTGGGGTGGGCTGCTTTGCGCGAATGAGGCGCTACCATAGCTACACATCGAACTTTTTTTGTGGTTTTCCAACCGCTTCGACGCGAAAGACGTACCTTGCGTGAGTTGGCTTAGCATTTCCTGCGTAAGAGGCGCCGTGTTGACAAACTCCGTACTTTGCCCTCCCATAGATAACGACGCAGGGCCCAAAGCAGCTTCCTCTGTATCGAGAAGATCGCGTTCATGCTCAAGATGGTTCCGTTCCTTCTCAGATAAAAGTCCGATGCGGTAAACGCCTTCAGCTTCTACAATGAATCGATCCAAGCTGGCTATTTCGCCCGTCCGGGCGTGCGCGTCCTCGGCAATGTCAAAACTATCAAGATATGGTCGATAAGGCTGAATATATTGAACACGGCAGCCTTCCACAGGGGTTGACGTCGGATGTGCCGAACTTTCCGCGCGCATAAGAACTTTTTTCGCTATGCGTCGTCGAAGAATGGGGTACAGGGCTGGTATGGTGGGTATCACTGAGCTATCTACAAGAGGGTTGGGTGTGCCGCCTTGAAGGGGCATATGATTTACCCGAATCCTACGTCGAGCGATGGATTGTTGGAAGGCGGTTCTCGTTTTATGCGGTGCATGCTCAATACTCCCCTCAAATCTTGAGACAATCTGGCGCGTTTGGTGGCAGTACGTGCTGGTAAGAGGACGATACCAATAGTTCGCATCGCTGGAGTACCGCAGTGAGGGGTAGAGAGAGGCAGCGGTGGGTTTGTGATTCGTCCCCTTCGCCTCTTCTTTCGCGTTGGCGGTTGAATCCAACGTGTGGTGTGGCGGGGGCGCCCGGCGTACGATCTTGTTATTGGGATTAAGCCACTCCTGCTCGTGGGGGAGGGCGTAGAACATATCTCCACCACCAGGACGGCGGGGAAGTAACATAGGCACCCCGTTCACGAAGATACGGGTGTAGCCAGCAACGTCCACAAGTGGTAAGTTCGTGAGGGTGACGTCGATATCGGGGTCGGCCATCCACGACGCCGTGCTGCGGTGTGCGGCGGATGAAAAGTGGTAATGCACGTCCTCCAGCATTTTGTGCGTCGAGGCGAAGGTTGAGACTTTCGTCAGGCGCATTTCACACGGTACACAGATATAAAAATACTCCCTCCGTGTATCTCCCGGTGCGGACAAGCCAAATACCTTTGGGTCGAGATTATTCTCCGCGATATCACGCTCCGCCTGAGCTTCCTCGTGGATGACTTCTGGCGAGGCGGTGAACTCAGTGAAGTCGTCCTCGTCCGCATTGCATCGGCGTAGGCCGTGCTGTTCTAAACGCGCCAAAAGCTGCTCCGTGAAGTTCGGCCTCTTACCTTCACCGACATCGACCACGTAATCGTCATCCAGCCCCGAGCCGGCATCACCATGGCTGAGCGCCGATCTCGAGGAGGTGATAGCACCAGAGCAGCGCAGCCGATTTCGCACCCGGCGGACGTAATCCTCATACATCGAGGCAGAAGGACGTTCACTGGGGGCCATGGACCCGACAGACGGTCGCCCGGTACCCGATAATCGCATCTACGTATTTATGATTAATATTGTGATTTTATTTTTGATTTTCTTTTATCTATGCGTATGACATCGCTCCCGCTATGGACGTCTTAAGCAGATTGGCTAACTACAGATAAAGAATGGGGTGATAATATGTTACCGGAACTGACACCATGTTGTTTAATAGATCAATGTAGAGACACATTAATTTATACATATATAGAACAGTGAATGAATAGATTGATGCCTAACAACTTTTTTCCCACCAGCTCTTTGATATATTGAGATACGGCGGCAGTGAAGCATCGTGTTTGCTCTTCAACTGTAGACTTCTGTCCATATGAAAGCATGCCAGGACCCCCACTGTAATACGGAATGCGTCTTCATAATCTTTCTTATTCCCATTGTGGTTGCTTGCTTCTACTTGCTGCCAGCATCGGTTGCATTATCAATTGATCTCCTTCTACTCATCAGCGCATTAGTCTCTTTCTTTGTATTCATTGACGATTAGAGATCCACTGTGCTCGCTGAAAAATTCGTTGATAGGGCCAGGATTTAGTGCTAATGAGATGACAAATGGTAGATTATTAGTGAGGTCTAAGATATGAGACTTCGTCAACAATGGGACCCCCTCAATCGGTGGGGTTTCGCTAATTCCAGTCGTCGTAATGCCAAAAACACGCTGTATTATTTCCATTGGGGTCTTCTTCACCTCGATTGAATTTTCAGATAATGGAGCATCGAGAAACTTGATATATTCCTCCTTCAGTTCCAATAACCTATCTGCCACATCTTTATCCGCACCTGGCACATCAGGAACGAGGAGCCGCTGCTTTGCAGACCATGATCCCTCGAATAACATAAACTCCCATATCAACATGTACGTTAACATGTGCACCATCACACTAGGGGAAAGAGAAACTTGACCGGACCTCTGGTTCTCCTCTGCCGAGTGGTGCGAGGTCCCATAGCGAGAGCTGGAAAGTTCCGCCTCCGCACAGCGTAAAATCTGCACCGCCAACTTTTTTGTGGCGGCATACACCTCACCCAGTCGCGTCGCCATCATCTCGAAAGTGACGGTGTCCACCTTGAAGTCCATGTAGAAGAAGACCGTTTTCATCGCGTTAGACCACGCAATAGGGGTAGAGGAGGAGCTCCTTGCAATCGCCCCCCGATTGCGATCAGCGAGCTCCTCGGTATGCTGTGTGAGCAGCGGCAGCAGCGTGTGGAGAACACCAAGGCGCCACAGCCGCGCCACCAATTCGCCTTTCTCCCGGCTTACCGCGATCCGACCGAGGTTTGCGATGGCGCGGGAGAAATCCAAAAGTACGACGGCCCCGGCATTTCGCAAAGTGGAGGTCATCCCCACCGTCGACAGCCCCTCGTCGGATGGGCTCGCTAGAAAGTAGCGGAGCTCCTTCTCCTCGGGCAGGACCTCTAAGAGCGTCATCGCGTGCAGGATACTAACGCACTGAGTGGGATACTCCACGAGAAGTATGGGGAGAGAGGAGGACGAGCCGTTTGCCTCGCCACCCCGTGCGTTCAAATGTTTTCGTAATTTTCCCAAAAGTATTCGCACAATCGATTTGGTCATCTCCGACGAATCTTTTGCGTTAAGGGCAATGGCGCTGAGGCATGTAGACACTTCATCTGGGCTCATTCGAGCTGGGAGTATGGGCGCCGCTTGCGTTATAAACTGCACAAATCCATAACACTCTTTGATATGAAGCTCACAGAGGATGGTGGCGAAGGAAAGGACGGACGCGGCAGGAATTCGAGCAACTTCTCTCTTCTGCGTGCTAATAGCCACTAATTTCCTCTCGGCTTCGTGAATAATTTCACGAATCGCATCTTTCGTATTGAAAGTTGTGCCCAAAGTGCGAAGCACATTCAACAGCCTGACAAAATCGCCAAAATGAAACCTGGTCGCATGGTTCTGCAAGGTTTGTAGAACTATACGAAAGCGTGATTCCTGTTTAGGTTTAGCACTAGGCACTTGACTAAGCAGTGGGAGCAGTTTGATCAAATCCAACAGCCCACAATCAAAGGGTATATTCTCGACTATCGCGCGGCCCGAACTATTTTTATCAAAGGAAGCCCTTTCCTTTCCTAGGGTGGCTTTATCGCCATAGCCACTTCGTTTTCCTTCGGCGAAATCGAAAATTCTAGCCATCCCGATCAACGCCAGATCATATCCCGTAGCTGGGCCGTTTTCCAGGATCCTACCCCCTGCGCACTCGCCGGCACTTTCCACTGCTTGATCCCTCGCGATATCGGACGCAAATTTGCCTATAACTCTAGTGAACTGTGGGTCCTCTTTTAGACCGTCTAGCACTTGATATTCCTTCGGGAAATTAACCAGCGCTCGAACAAAGTTAATCCAATGCGCTCCACGCATGACCGAGTCGTTCTCAAGAATAAAGAGGCAAATTCTATTTCGGATCTTGTTAATAGCCACATAAGGAAGATCCTCATCACCCCCTGAAGGCGAGCGCGAAGGGGCTGCATCTGAAGCAACAGGAAGCGTCGACCGTTTGGAATACAACATGGCCCGTATAGACGTCGAAAGCGCCCTCAAAACACGCACAGCTTCGAAGACGTTGCAAAGATCGCCCGCTTTCGCGTCGCGCGAGGCTGTTCGATCGCCCTGGCGAGACTCAAACGACAAAGTCCACTTTTCATTACGGTAAAGTGGCACGATCGAGCGGATTGTGAGGTCGTGGAGCCCGGATTCTACAAAGGCGAACATCACGCTTGCGATTTCTTCCAGACTATGGAAATCAAGTTTAGGGATAAGTACGGCGTAGACAGAGCGATCTCTGACGCCCACACTGCACAAACTCGCGATAATTTTACTAGCCTGGGCAGAGGTCATGCGGTGTAGAAAGTGCATGCGCTCGTGGTCGTGGAGGATGCAATCAAGAAGCGTGCGTACGAAACGCTTCTCCGGACTTGCCTGCAGCAGCTGAGCCGAAAAGGCGGCTTTCTGCAGAATTTGGCAAGCCTTTTGCTGCATTTCCTTCATATCGTGTTTAGAATCGAGGGACGTCCCTTCCAGGAGGGGAATGAGATCCTTCTGGAGGAAAAGCTTGAGCTTGTGAGATGCGTCGGCCGATGAATGGTTCATCGTATCCAGCAGACGATGGAGCTCCACGGACGACTGAATCAAGGAACTCCGCATCACAACATGCAGGAGCGGAAGACATTTACGGAGCATCATCCTCACATAGAGATTTTTCGCCCTCACCAACTTTGTTACCTTTTGTTTTTAGACCTTATCAAAAATAATTAGATTGGGTAAGATGAAACGAACCAATGATGGCCACTTAAGTAGGAGTGTTCCATGAGGATACAGTCCATAGCGGACTTCATATGTTACCCAAGATCCACCATATTTAAAACACTCAAGCACTCATAGTTTATACAATGCTTAATTGAAATTCGAAGCTTAAAAGGCCACGTAATAAGGCAGTAAAACCCTCTAAGCCGAATCCGACTTAATTTGTTTACTTTCGAAAGTAGACGAAGTTAATTTATCAAGGTAACTCTCAATCCTTGATAAGCGCTCCAAAATTCGATCACGATCTTCATTGCATATCATAAAATTCCAAACATCCGCGATTTCGCTCTTGCTTGGCGAGAGTGAACCGAGCATCCTGTCCGAGCCCGAATCCTCAGCATGCCATAGCGCATCCTCATCGAGGCACTTACGGTGAACCTCGGCTGATACCGAGTATTCGTCGTCTGGGCAAAGTTTGCATTCAAAACGCGAGGCTTCGGATTTAGGTGAGCTAGATGATTCTTCCGCCGATGCATTCGTCTTCGCACGCGATAAAAACGGACCCCCTACAAGCCCAAGATAGCTGAAATAAACACAAAAAATCCACCACGCCCGCGCCCACCGGCTTAAGTGCTTTGGTGGATACAAATACGGCCGCTCGATCTCACGCAACATCTCTCGCGCGCGCTTGCAATCCAGCGCTCTCAGCGGCATGACGTATTTTCCGATATCTAACGCCACATTATTTGCGTTTGATCGAGAAAATATATCCGTACGAATGGTGCTATAACCACCTCTGCACATGGTTGGCTTCCCTGTAAAACAGCCAAAAGAGGACGCTGGGGATGAGCTTGAGAGAGGGGAGCCGTCCCCTACGCGCATCTCTCCCGACTGAGAGGGGTTTGAGGACTTCGAAGGACCCTGCTCGGCGGTTTGGTTGTTCGCTTCGGATGCCTCTCCTTGCACCTCCCCGCCCAACGCGCGACCGTGAAGCTGAAACGGAAAGGGAATCCCCGCCGGCAGGTAGGTGCTTTGTGGTTTTCGAATTTTCATCAGTAATCGGTACTTCTCCATGAAGGTTAAGGCGTCCACGAAGGAGCGATGGCGGTCGGTCCTGGGGTCTACCGCCGCGGCGGGCAGCTTGCAGGCGGTGAAAATCCACTTCACATAGCGCCCTACCAGGCTATTCAGAGTGGAATGCGAGAGATACTTATTGCTGTACGGCCACGAAAAAGGCGTCGCATCGTGCAGCACATTCGTTTTCCACGCCTCCAACGAGGCCGATCGGTCGAGGGGCTCCAGCGAGGAGCACAGGATAATGCACGCCTCCCCGCGTACGTGTTGGAATTCTCCGGTTTCGTAGTAGTGCGCATTTCGGCTGCGCAGCTCTTCAGGCGTCGGCCCACCTTCGGGGAGAACGGTGGATGCCTGCTTCCGTGGAGGACGCGTCGAACGTTTCCCTGGATTGGATCGCTTTTTCCGTAGCTCCTTCGCTGGCCCTAGGGTCCCGTGCGAAGAAAGATCCGAGGGTTCACTCGTGCGAAACAGAGACGGGGTAAAGACTTGTGGATCGGTGAAATCCACGAAGCACCGATCCCAAGGGTCCATCAGGACACCTTTTGACATCACCCCAAAGGAGTTCAGAATAGGATCATCCAGATTCGGACGGACGCTTTGAGTTATAGAATCAGCATTTCGTTCATCGACAACCACATGGGCTTCATCGTTCCCGTGGTCTATTCCAGGCGCAGCCGATGAGTGCGCTAAAGAAGGTAAATCAAAATCGGCTTCTAAATGGGGAAAAATATCCGAGGGACGAAAAGATCCATCGTCAGCAAAAGTTTTGCACAGAATACCATTTATGTAAAAGAATCGTCCTTCATCTCTTTCCATTTGAGAGGCACAGCAAATACTGTTTTTGAAATTTTGTACCAGCCTTCACTTTTTTTTCTCACAACTCTCCATATTTATCCCTGCTATAATACGGAAAATATAAAAACGGTTAAGAAAAGACCTCATTAGCATCACCATAACAAAGGAAATAGCAATAATTAAGGAATATCATTCTACACAGGAAGTATAAATATAAAACACTCATAAATAGCCCTCGTTTATTTATTTAATATCACCTTAACACGAAATCTTACATAGAAGTACAAAACTATCTAATTGCACAATATTAGAATATGTTTTTATATATAGGAAAGAGAATAGTAAATCCTACGAGTTAAGCAAACAGAAAGATGCATATACTATACATGCTCAAAAAATGAAAATAAATGCTAGCGAATATATGTATTAATAATGTTAACAATACTATAAATTTCGAATAAAAATTGTATTTAGACCAACTTTTTCTTTTCATGACGAAACGAACATATTGATCGCGTATATCGATAAAAATATTAATAATGTAAGTCACCTCGCAACCCTCGACTTCACTTCGCTCTATTCTGAGTGCAGAGTCGGCGAGGTAGCCGTCGTGATGACTGCTTCAGACAGTTAAAAGCGATTAGAACAACACCAGACCGCTTCAACGCGCCTCAGTCTTCGTTGAATCACACTCGCTTCCGTTGGAGCGATTGAACCTTTAGGCTTGGGAAGGAGGGAGAACGTGTGCTTTTGTTCGACACCTCTGGCCTTGCTTTTTGAACATGCAACTGAGAAGGGAAGGCTTCATCGGGAACGTCCGCTTCGTTTCCGTCACTATTGGAGATCCTCAGGTTGCACAAATCAGGGGTAAAGAACACGGGAACGAGTTGGCGGGATCGCTTGCCGGGAAAAAAGGATTCAGGGTGGGAAACTGCCATGGAGGACTTTTTATCCCGTCTAGGAGTTTTCTTTCCCGCAGATGGGCTGGGCTTCACTTTACTCAGGATATCCTCAACCCGCTCACGCGCTATGGAGGATGACTTTAGGTGCTTCCGAAACACCTCCTTGGATGGCGGCTCTTGCAACCGGATCGGGGCTTTAGGAAGGATATCTATATTTTCCTTGATATCGAGGGTACTCGCGCCGGTGCCGACGCCGCCACACGAAGCTGGAGGCCCCCTAACATCATCGGTCGAGATCGGCTGATTGGGTAACATGCGCTGCACGATGGCTTCCTGAATTTTCGGCAACACGTCCGAAACACGTGATTGGTAGTAAAAGATCATATGCGCGCGTTTGGCGCGCTCTTGCAGCATCCCAATGCACGCTGCGGCGCTGTCGCCGTCGCGGGTTTCGGCCTTTTTGGATCTTGGGCTCATCTCCCCTATGGACGAAAACGACTTTGGGAATATCATGTACAACAAAGGACAGCACACCTCTGGGGGGAACTGCGGGAATGCGTTAAACGTTGGTCCCGCCACTTCCGAAAGTGTTTCCCAAGTCTTAAAGAGCGACTCTAGCGACTTGACATACTTCGGAGAAATTTTACATAGATTAAGGCCCACAACCACAATCATGATGAAGGGTTTGATCGATTCGGTGCACTTCAGGAAAGAAATCAACTCAGCATGGCCGGCCGTCACGGTCGTTTTGAAGTGCGCGTGGGCGAGGCAGGGTGCGCAGAGAACGCTCGCGACGATCTGCCCGATGGAATTACTGGTGGCGGTCGCTTTGGATCGTGAAACAACGTGAATCAGCACGAAACGGCCGTCCTCCGGGTGAGGCAACTGCTCCGCCTCCTCAATCTGATTCAGGAAGGTGGCGTTAGGGCCAAGTCGACTGCGAGATCCGCCGTGGGCGACGTTACCCTCACGCGAGCCTAAAACGCCGTCTTGACTCACAATGGAGAGGTGAAGGCCGTCCGTAATGGGGGTTGACGGCGCAGTTTGTCTTCGCTCGCCATGCATGAGGGCGAGAAGGTTCTGGCACTTCTTCTGCGTTCTCAAGGCGATCACCGCTGCCACGGAATCCTCGCTCAGAGCGGGTATTCGGCTACTCAGCTCATCGAGCATTCTATTGGCAGTTAGCTCAGAAGCCTCATACATTTTGTGTGCTTTATTCGTAATCAAAGTAAGTTCTTTCTCGGCAACCTCAATATCCTTTTCGACAGTCTTGCTTTTTTTGCCAAATTCCTTACTCCGGTTCGCTGCGATGTCAACCTTGCCCCCCCCCGGTGAGAACTGACAGCGGATAATGTTCCCAGTTTGCTTGAAATGAGAAGCAGTACTGATCTTGATCGCGTTGCAGTCGTCAATGGTGGATATGCGATTACTTTGCAACGTCCCCGTGGCACTTTCCATCACAAGAACACCGTATATTTTATTGTCAAATATGTCGTTGTTCTGCAAGGTTGATATGGAGTCATCATCAAGGTAAAACCCAACGCCATTGGAGTAGACCGAGTTGCCTTTTGCAACAGGGACCTTTTCCCCACTCACCAGCTTTGCAAAAGACACCATCTTGAATCCGTTCTCGCAGCTCGAGATGGTGTTTCCTTCTAAGGTGGCGGCACCCTGCACGAGGATGCCGTTGGACTCACACCCGCATATGGTGTTATAGGAACACAAAGGGATGTCGTCTCTGTTGTGGTAGTCAGCCGACATCTCAATGCCTTTGTATTCCGTCCCAGGTTGAACAATCATCCCAGTCGTACCCCCGAAGATTTCATTGCTCGCAAAAAGTCCTCCGTAGGTCAAGACGCCACACTTATGGCTTAAGAAAATTTTATTCTCTTTAAAAATAGTACAATTATGGGGTGCAATGGTGATGCCAGTACCGCACCTATGCAAGAAATTGGATCGAACCACGCCGCTCGCACCCGGAAGCGCCAGAATTGCCTTTTTATAATGTGAAAAGAAGTTGCTCTTTAAGATTAATCGAGATCGGGAATGGAGCACTACCGCTGGGCACCGGACATGCGAATCCTGCTGGGTATTTGGATTGCTTTCCTGGAAGAAATTGTTCATGAACACCGCGTGGCTACTTTCCATCCCATGAACCGTACCGTGAAACAAATTATCACGAAACATTCCGTGACTGGCGTTGATGGTAACAACATCCCCGCAGGTAGACCGGTCACACATATTCTCCGAAAAGTAGCATCCTTGAATTGTCGTTGCCTCACGAAACTCATTCACATCCTTATTCTCGGACCACGCGCCCTGACCTATTTCGGCCTTGGCGACGTATGTAGATTCTAGATCCTTAATACTGTTGTTGTTGGATGTCACGCTCGCACGCAATAGTATCCCCGCCACTCGATTCCGAGAAAACACGCAAGAGATAAATTTGAGAGTGCTGTCTAGCGTTGTCATGGAGGACTGCCTGGCATCCCGCGTGGCGTCCACGCCAAGTTCATTATCTGTGAAGGTGCACCTCTCAACAACGCCTTCCACGAAGGTGTCGGCCAAGATGCCAGCCACTAAAATGTGTTGGGTTTCTAAATTCAGCAAATACTTATTTTCCGGCATCAACTCCACCAGGACGGTACCCATAAGTAAGGGGAGACTGGAGTTTGGTGGAAATCTGGCGTATTTGGGGTCTATCACGGAAGAGGAAGCTGATAAGTGATTCCTCGACATCAAAGGCGCGTAATGGCAACGAAACACGCAGTCCCGCGCCTGAAACTTCGTGTCGATTCCGCTCACTTCTAACCCACATCGAAAGTTGCTATCAAACAAATTGCCTACAAGATGGAGAGAAGCCCCTTTACACACCAGCGCGCCGATGTAATTCCCGATAAAAATGTTCTCTGCAGCGACGCTGGGTATGACACAAAGCTCTTTCTGAGGAACCATCTTTTCATCTGTGCCAGGGGGCGCCTGCCCGTTGACCACAAGCGACGTGTAACCTTCGGAGAAAATATTTTTGACGATCACAGTCCCCTCATGATCTCGGTGAGATTTTGCTGCGGTGAGGTAAACTGCTGAACTGCCCATAACATGCCCAAAGAATTCGTTATGATATAATAGAACAGAACGGTCTCCACTCGAGCTCACCAACACAGAGCAATCCCTAGAAGATTTAAACACATTGTTAAACACGCGCGTTCGTAGGTCGTTTTGCGCCTCGAGATTCTCCTTGTCGGTTTCCTCGCGTTTGGAACGATACAGGCTAGGGGTGACATCGATCTTTAAACTAATAAGATTGTTCAAGAAAATGTTCCCCACCCCTACCGTGCACGCTGCTAGATGACCCTCCACGAGGATGCCAACAGATAGGTTTTCGAACTTGTTTCGCTGGAAACGCGCTCCAATGGAACCGACATACCCCGCAACTCGGACGCCGTGCTTTGCATCGGAGAAGACATTACTATCAAAGATGCACGACTCCACCGGAGGGTGTTGCAAGAAGCTCCCAAACGGTTCGATCTCTTTTAGAATTCTCGACACGTAGTTTGAGTGCCGCGGTGAGGCCATTGTGTCGAACTGAAGCAGCGTTCGCGTGGCGTCGGCGAAGACGACGACGTAGCGGGAGGACACCTCCACCTGCGGGCCGGCGTTCCCCGACAGCTTATTGTGCGTGACCCAGACCTGCCCCGCATCGACCGGCACGGGGGTGAGCCGAAAGAGCGGCCCGCCGGACACCGGCAGCGTCTTCCGCATCAGCATGGAGGAGAGGACGTCCGAGTAGGACTTCTCCACCGCGGCGGTCAGGATGCCGTGGTCGACCCGTTGCGTCTTGTCACAGAGGACCTCGACGACGTGCTCGGCGTAGACCCCGGCTTGACGCGACCGCGCGATGGTGTTGCGCTCCACCAGCAGTGTGACACGGCGGGCGCTAAATGAGGTGGGGAGCGGCAGAGGGTGGTCCGTCATCGTGCTGAGATCCAACGAGTCCACCCACCGCGGTGACACGGCAGTTGGGGTGAGAGGGGCGGACGGGGGCCCCACCTGTGGGGGGGACGAGGACGAGAAGAAAGGGGGCTTCGCGGAAAGAAGAGGGGACTTGGAGGCGGGGATGAGGTAGGCCCCACAGGGGTCCTCCCGGAGGGCCTGGTAGTGTTGGATGTAGACGCTGTAATCGCTCTCGTGGATTTCGTTGTCGGAGATGGCGGCGTAGGTGAGGACGGCATCTCCGGATTTTCGGAAGCCTCGGGAGGGTAAGGGCGGGGAGGTGAGGGCGCCGCCCGTTTGACCTTCCCCGCGGGTTGCCGGGCTCGAAGTGGTTAGGGCGTCTGAGGTGAAAAGAAAGCCCTTCTGATCCGAAGCCAATCGGGGTCTCGGCAAGGACAGGACGCGCTCCAAGGATTTCACCACCTCGCCATCGTTTTCTGCCTGCTGGAAGTTTGATTTAGGGGGGGGGTTATAAGTCGAGGCTCCTTTTTTCTGTTTCACGACAAACGCGGGGACTAATATACTATGGTGATGGACGATACCTTTACTATACAAGACACCGATCCGACTATTCGCCTTTATTTCATTGCAGCATATCTTTATGAAGCTGCCCTGCTCAATCCACACCCCAATCCCCCCGTCGGAGGTGCACATGCGAATGAAGTTGGGCACCGCCACGCCGCCCAGGGAGACGGGGACGTCATCACAGATCGCCGCGGAAGGGCAGCAGGTGGTCGCGAGCGTCATCCCCGCGGAGGAGGCGGAGGAGGCGGAGACAAACTCGCAGAGCAGCTGAATCGCCTCTGCGAGGGAGTAGGTGTGGATTCGCGCGAGATGCATCAGGGGCTCACTCGCGAGCCGCGCACGGGACTCCTCCAGTGACGGCGGTGGTGATAGAGGCAGAGGGGGGGCCTCCATCGTGCTCCTCAGACTCGGAGCCGTGCCGGCGCTGTTGGCATCCCAGGGCTGCTCAAAGAAATTTTTGCTAAAGATGAAGTCCGAAAAGTTGCGTGTCTGGTTCTTGTTGCCCGGGTAGCGACAGAACGTGTTGTTTTCTGATATTCTTCCACCACTAATCACACCCCTGGAACCCTTCGCGGCGTAGACCCCCGCTATACCATTTTCGCAAACAACATTCTGGTGCGCAACCAAACCCGAGTTTGATCGGAGAAGGAGGCCAAAGAAAACATTGCACTCGATCTTATTGTCCAATAGAAACGGATGACGGCCATATCCAGTGGCGAAACCCACGCCGCACTCCCGAATGACATTTTCCCGAAAGGTAACGTTCCTAAGCTCTAACTTTTCACGTTGCTCTTTATCACAGTTCATCAGGGGCGTGTCGAGGTCCGTTTCATTAAATCCGGTGGAAATAAGGCACTCGGACTTAACATCCACAGCCCTCGCCGCATCGGGCGTGTGCATGTCGTGTAGTAAGGAGAGTTCGTTTGCCTCGGCGGTCGAAACAAAATCACTAAGCTCAAATCGATCCACAAAAACGCCACACATGCGGTTGCGATGGATCTTGTTTCTAGCGAACAACGCGAAGAGCCGATCCTTCGACGAGAATAAACTTCGCATAGTCACGTTAGAATCCAAAGGGGGCGCAAAGTTAATGGTATTTCGCCACGACTGGAGTGGATCCGTGTAGCGATGCACGCGCAGCGGGGTAAACTTGGCAGCACTTAAGAGCAACACTCCATGGGTTTCGTTTTCCTCGATGACGTTATCGGAGAAGGTGCATGGAGCCAACGCATGCGTCGTGGCAATCACGGCCTTGTAGCTGAGCTCTGGGGAGATCTTGTCAACGCAAGAGATGATAGCGCCCACACAGCAATGTCGAATCGTCGTCTCCTCTACTTTTGCGCTCCCACCCCAATCAACGAGCACCCCAGAGAGCCCACAGCGCTGGATCACGTTCCGCCGCGTGAACACGGGCTCCGCGCCGTGGCTGACGTAAAGCCCGCTAAACGCGCAGTCGTAGATCTGATTTTCGCAAAACCGACCGACCGCACCGAACTCCGCGTACACGCCGTCCAAGCAGTGATGAATCCGATTCCCCTCCACCAAGTTGCAGGAGGATTGGTTGCCGAGGTAAAACCCGATTGGCGCCTCATAAATCTCATTCTCCGTCCAATCCGTCTGATCGTTGGCATACCAGCTATTGTAGGAGACATTCGCCACCCGATTTCGGTAGATCGTGTTTTTAGTGAACAACACCGAGGCGTTGCACGGCGGCGTCGCCGCGACGGCGTTGAGCTGCTTGGAAATCGCGGACGGCCGTTGTTGGAGGAGGGATTGCACGCAGGTCGCGGCGTAGCACGGATCGGCGCAGACGCCGTAATCGGTGTTGTCGTAAATCTCATTCTCCTCGACATGACCACTACAGCTCGCGCTCAGGAGAATACCCGCGTACTGGTTGTGGAAGATTTTATTCCCCCGTACCTGGCATCGGAGCGGCTTCAGGCGAATAGGATAGCGTTGATCCGTGGGGTTGGGAGCATTCGACGGCAATTTATTCGTACCAGCTTCCCGAGCGGAAGGGATGTTCTTCCTTATCGAAGTCAGTGCAGTTCCATTTCCCGGGATGCATTTAAAGGGGACGGTAGCCGAAAAAGGCGGAAGGCTCGGTGGCTTTGCTTTCACGAAGATCGAGTTGACATTCACGGTCGTGGACTGCAAGGAAGAGCCGAGCTGAACGCCGAACCCATTATCCTTGAGTGTATTACGCAAATACTTTCCGACCCCATCGGGCGCGATTAGTACGCCCGCCACCTGGTTGAGGTAAATTGTGTTATCCTCAAAAACCGGATCCCCCTCCTGCGTCGTGAGCACCCCGAAGCTCTGGCAACAGTGGATTTGATTTTGCTGAAAGATTCCTTTGCCGCGGTCCGAAACAAAAACGCCGATGGGCTCGCTTCGGATGTGATTCTCGCGAAACGTCGGGTTCGCCGCGTCGATGACGTACACCCCGTACTGGCTATTCTCGTAGATGTGGTTGCCGACGAACAACCCCCCGGTGTTCTGCGCGCAAAGCACGCCACAGCCCGACGGCGCGGAGTTGATCATGTTCGATACGAAAGACGGCTCCGAGTGCGGACCGACCACGATCACGTTGGCCACGGAGTTCTCCGAAAGGTGATTTTTCTCAAAGAGCCCGATCCCCTCGCTATGGACGACGACGCCGCCTTGAAGGCCCTTCGAGATCGTGTTGTGGCGAAGTACCGGGAAGGCGCCGTCGGAGACGACGACGTTCGCCTGCGTGTTCTCGCTGATATCGTTTTGCACAAAGTTGCCCAGTGCGTTGTTTCGTGCTAAAATCCCGACCTTGAGATTCATCTTGATGCGATTCCACTCCACTTGAGGGTCCGCATCCAGCTCGAGGACGATGCCGTCGCCGTTGTGGAGAATGGCATTCTTGTAGACGGTGCCGATGCTGCAATCCGTAAAGATCATCCCCGCACCGGGGGAGGAGTGAAGTTGGTTGAAGGCGATAAAAGGGCTCGAATTTTCGCTACAGTTGATGTGCGTGACGGTGTTGCAGTAGAGCTTGTTGTGGAAAATAAGGGGTGTGCTCTGATTGGTGATATGAATCCCGGCCTGGGAATTCCTCGAAATTAGGTTGGCCACGATGAGCGAATAGCTGTTCTGAGTTACTAAAATACCAGATCCAAGCTGACTTTGTATGACGTTCGCCACGATCACGCCCCCGGAGAGGTTATTCGCCTCGATCCCATTATTCGAACCCATGGCGATTTCATTTCCGATGATCAACGGCTCAGAGAATTTGTGCAACACCAGCACCGCCTTGGAAGAGGATAAGAAATGGCAACCGGTAATCAACGGATGCGCGCCGGAGTCGATCACCACGGCGTGGCTTTTGGAATCCTCGAATTGGCATGATTCGACAATCCCGTAGCTATGGCGTCCGAAGCGAATTGCACATAACGAGCAGTTCACGAACTTGGTCATACTCACATGCACGCCCCGGTTGCCCATCCTCTGGAGTATCTTCCGCCGCTCTTTTTCATCCGAATCGCTCGAGAGAAGAAGTCCTAGGGAGGACTTTATCAGCTGCGCGTATTCGTTTCCGACCTTCTCGGTTCCCGCCGCGGCGGCATCTTCGGAAGCGTAAACGGGCGGGGCGCCAGATACCACCTTAAACGAATCGTTTAAGCAAACGGGGTAGGCGCGGAGGACGGAATGAACGAGCCCCATTAAATACGACCGTAGATTCTGCAACGAGTAGTACGTGCCGTGAAAGAAGACGCGTTGCGTGGAATCCTCCGGCCCGTATGCGGGGCTTTTCAAGTCTTTTCTCACATCGGGCGCCAAAGCACAATCCGGTAGAGTTTTGGTAAGATCCGAAGAGGAGAACCAGTTAAACTGTTGCTTTTGGGTTGGCAATTCGGGCGAGAAGAGGTGCTCCGCGTCAAAATTCACCCCTGATAGGTGTCTCCCGCAGGAAGAATGAACGACATCGATCCCAATGCAGCAATTATCCAGCACATTGCTTTCGGCAATGCACAACTGCTGATCAAACAGGGAGGGAATATATCCGTGATCGACCATCGCCAAAATGCCACAGCGCCGTTGTAGACGGATGATATTTCGTGCGATTTGAGCAGCACCGGGGAAATCCAAGTAGATCCCGATCTCCCCCTCAGTTAATTCGTTATCGCAGAGGGTCGGGGAGGCCCCGTTGGCGATGACGACGCAGCATTGAACCCCATACACATTCGTCATCGAATCCTCGTCGATGCTACTTTTGAGCAGACTATCCGTCGTCCTGACATCGCGGTCGTTTTCCCGAGTGACGTAGATCACACAGTTCATGATTTTCACCCGACTGCAGCTGTTTACCGGGCGAAAGCTTTCATTCACCGCGATGGAGCCGACCCCCGAGCTCAGCATCAGCACGTTCCCTCGAAACGCGGCGCTGTTAAAAAGTGTACACTTCTCGAGCACGAGCTCCTCGTAGGTGTCGATCTCCGCCGCGGCGAAGCTGTGAGAGTGGATGATGGTGCGCGCGATATGCCCGCCGCCGGAGTCCTGCACGACGAGGCCGTAGCCGCTGCTGCTTTTGGAGATCACGCAGTCGGAGATCTCCACCCGCGCGCCACCGCCGATCAACACCGAGGATAACCAGCAGCTATGGCAGCAAATCGTACCCCCCATTAGCATCAAAGCCGCATCCGACTTGTTCGCGCCCTTGCAGACCACGACGAGGTTCTCCAAATACACCTTCACCCCTGCGGCGACGGTGATTGGGGAGGTACGCGCGGTGATACGGGGCTCCTCGCCATCGGAGGCGACGAGCTCAATCGGAATGGTGAGCGAAATCGACTCAGAGTAATCCCCTCCAGATAGTTCGATCCGATCGTTCGGCTCCGCGATCGATAGGGCGGCCGTGATGAAACGCTGAAAGGCACTTTTGGAGTGTGAATTGACAAGAATGGTCCGGACTTTCTTCTTCTGCCATGCACTGTAGCGCTCCTCAATGACAAAGCCACCTTCTACCTTCTTAATTCGATCCATAGGTCTTTAGATATATATATATATGTATATATATGTACGTATGATAAAAAAATCCAAAACTATTTTTTTTTAGAGAGGTTAATCGATTTCGTTGTTTTTTCCGAGGGTGAAGGTGAATTTTTCCTTTAGAGCAGAGTTTTAAGGGCTAGGGTTATAAAAAGAGCTGTGGGAACAAATATATAGTCCTTTTTTATAGTGTACAATTTCTGTAACCTTGCAAAAGGGAAAGAGAAAAGAAAAAACTGAGGAAGAAATAACGCGAATGACACATCCCAGAGATACACACAATAGACTTTTAAAGATCATAGACATATCCGTCCTAGAATTGACAAATGCCTCGTAAAAACAAAAACACATATACAACACTCCCGCATAGTTTTTTTTTTTTTTTAGGAATTCTCCATTCAGATAAGGTACAAAACTTCTTCCTCTAAGAGAGAACTGTCAGAGAAATAAAGGGCAGAAGAAGAAATCAGCAGACCTAGTGAAAACAAAAACAGCAGACCTATGTAAAATACTTCTTACAAGACTATTGTATCCCTTTTTCAATTTCGCTTAATTACTTTTGTCCCAATACAAATTAAAAATGCATCCGACAAAAGAAAACAACCGTGGTAATAAAAGCCAGAAGTGTTCGACTTTTATAAAAATTCATGTCATACGAAACGGATAAGATACGACTCATATAAGAACGCCCACTGTTGCTTAATCCCTGTAGTTATATTTTTTTTGGTGGTGAAGAAAGGAAAGGGGGGGGGAGGGAGGGGAAAGGGGAGAAATACTCTTGGGAATATACTCCTAGAAATAGTATACACGAGGTTCATTTTAAATGTTATAATATTTTAAATTCCCAACAATACTCAAAATTTGTACTTCCACATATTTTCAATCATCAACGCACGGAAAAAAAAACAGGCATCGAATTAACTTATCATGCCGTGGCAAACAGCGTGCGGTACTTTGTTGGTCTCAGTTTCAACTCTGCGATTCGCTACTATATTTCTTATGTGAAGGGAAAAAAAGTTTGAGCCCCACAAACATCTGCCCAATCGATTCACTTACCAGAATGTTCTGCGTACCTCCCCGATTGACCCACTTGCGCATTTGGTACAATAGTCCTTAGCTTTCTACCTCTTTCTAAAACACCCCAAGATATGAGCAAAGCCCATTCATTTCGCTAGTCTGAAAAAAAAAATGAAATACGCCAAACACAAAAATATAACAATACCTTCTGAATAAATATTCTTTATATATACATATATATATATATATATATGTATATGTATATATAAACTTAAAATTAATACAAAATCCTTTTCTTGTAAGCATCAACATATATTAGTCACATTTCATGCATCATCTTCATTGTGATTCATAAATACATAGCTGCGCTTCCGACCTCGTTGGCGTGGAGGTCTAAGTCTCTTGTAGTCATAACTCTCACTCATTTCATTGATGGGGATTGAAATACCCGAGCGACGCAACATCTCCTCAATGTACTCTTCGTCGAATTCCTCTTCCTCCTCTTCGCTTTCCTCTTCCTCGTCGTCGTACTCGGCAAACTTATCACAAATATCTTGATAGTCAATGATGGAAACGGCAAAGATCATGCAGGGTGCCTCAATGCAAAGCCCGAAGGTGATGCCCAGACAGATACCCACTATCTGGAAGTTGAGTTGCTGGCCGAGGATAAACGCGATGGGAACGCCAATACACCAAAGGTTGACGAGCAAAATGGCGGCGCCGAAGTGGTTCTTTCCCAAGCCGCTAAAGATGCCCTGAAAGGTAAACTGGATGGAGTCGGCGATGAGGAAAAATGGCAAGATAAAGAGCACCTGGCGCGCCAGCAGCAGCGTCGGACCTTGAATCCCATAGAGCGACATCAAAAAATCGTAGAAAGCGACGAGCACCACCGAGTTCAACAGCCCGCACGCGAGGGCGAGCACGACGGCGAGAATCACATACCGCCGCGCGCTCTCCGCCTCGTTCGCGCCAATGCAACGGCCGATATTCGCGCACGCCGCCGTGCTCAGCCCCCCGGCGAAGGAGGCGAAGATGAACGACGTGTTCATAATCCCCGACCACGCCGCCCCTTGGATCGCGTTGATCTGGGCGCACAACAAAACGGTAAAATCGAACGAGGAGGCCTCCGCGGCGACAAAAATCGCGCTCGGGATGGCTAATTTCAGATACTTCTTCACATCCGTCCAGTCCAGGGCCTCGGAAATCCGCCACGCCCCCAACGTCGCGCGCGTCTCCGGCTTCGCGAAGGTGATCGCCAACACCACGGTGAGTTGCAACCACGCGGTGATTGCCATCCCCACCATCGTGTAGGTGACGCCCCACGGCGTGAGTTTGAGCTGCACCAAAGGCATCAAGAAAAACCCGGTCGTGAGCGCGATCAGGGGAATCTGCGGCTGCATCTGATTGTTGAGAAACTTAGTCATCGCGATAAGCATCATCATGGGGAAGATGTACAACGGGGAGAAGGTGAGGAAGGCCTCCGCGGTCTGCGTGATGGTCGGACCGTAAAGGTATAACAACAAAGGGTGAAGGTTAAATAGAAGCAAGCAGAGCGGAATAAGCAGGAGGAGGTTGATTAAGACGCCTCGTTGAAGAATCAACCCCAGCTCCGTGCTCACGGGGTTTCGCCCGTACTCATGGGAGCAAAGCGTGTCCATCGCGAAGGTGAGGCCGATGATGGGGTACATGACGAGAATGCACATGATAAAATACCCCACCGAGGCGCCGGTGAGATCGCTCTCGCCGAGGTTGCTCCCGACAAACGCCAACGGCACGACGGACATGCCGAAGGTGAAGAGAATCGACATCGTGGCGGGGGCCGCGACGCTCGCGAGATCCACCAGCCCCACTCCCCACCCCACCACCTCCACTTCTTCCTCTTCCTCTTCCTCTTCCTCTTCGGCGTCGTCTTCCGCCTCGAAGGGGGCGTAGGAGGGGGCGGTGGGGATCGCCAGCGCGCCTCGGCGGCTCC